GTTGCAGTTTTTTGTTTCAGTTGTATGTTACATAACTGTTGTACATGACACAGTTAATAAAGTAGGCATGATATGTGAAGAGTCGATGTGTTGTTAGGTCAAGTATTTTATTGATATCAGTTTTAGGCTGTCATGCTTGTGATAATTTATAAGGCGCAGAATTGAGCAATTTTGAAAGAGGGAAAAAGCTGAACAAGAAGAATTGAATAAGATTTGTATATAAACCAGCATGTATTTGTTAAACACAACGAATCATGAACAAAACAAACAAGTACAATGTTCAGAGGCGCACCAGTAAGGAGAATAATAAAAAGTAGATGAGGTACTTTTGCCTGAAGTGACATGAGACCACAAAAAATGCAGACAATGTAAATATTTATAGGTTTCGATGGCACATGAAGTAATTGTAGTTAGCATCAGTAGCATTAAAACAATAATATATTTGCTATGCAAAAGTGAAGGTTGCATTAAATTATGTTATAATTAGGAACGAAAAAAAGTAAATTGATTGAGGAAGAATAAGAACAGAGAATACGACAATTCATAGGTAGTGAAGAGGATCATCTGACATAGAAGATGGAAATGGTTCAAAGGGCTGTTTCATTTACATGTGCAAACAAAAGAAGAAAGTGCAAGGAGACAGTTGTAATTTCTGCAATGAAGTGAGCAAAAGATAACAGCTTGGCTCATTCAGAAATAGCATCTATCCCAGTAGAATAAAAAATGAGCAGCCATGATTGACAAAAAACAAAAAAGCTAGGCTATCTGTTGAACATTGGAACGCTTATTCCAATCTTGCTTTCTTTGCCGGGTCGTTATCAGTACATTCTGGCTGAATCAATTGCGAGGCTGCCGAATCATCTGTCCCAGTATCATTAAATCTGTCAAGGAGGCAAAGCTTTCTTTTTGATGAAGAAGTTCCTGCATCTTGAAAGGAATCTTAAAATTTAAATCTGGGAGAATGTAAGAATTTTGGGGAAAAAAGTATAATGATAAAGAATCAAAGCATACCTTCAACAATAGTTTCAGCAGATTCAATGTTCGTGCAAGTCAGTGGAACCATACTACTTTCCTGAGTAATAAGATGCTGTTCGGTTTGGTATTGAGACTCTTCACAACAATATATAATAGTATATCGTTGCTTTGCATCTGCAATTTGACTCTGAACAGGTTTTATATGCGCAACAAACCATTTTGTTTTTAGAGATTCATGGACATGATCAAGCTGCAGCTCTATGTTCTGAAAAATTGCATAATTAGAATAGGGAACAAGGTGACGCGGAGAAATTTTAAAAAATTGCATTGATTCATCACTAATGTAACGTAGAGGTAATAGAGGTACCTGGCTAAAATGATCCATTGCTTCAGCCGCGGTGAAGGTAAGCAGCTTTTCAGCCAGATCTCCAAATATGGAAGCTGTCACTATGCCAGTTTCATCTGTTAAATTAACGTTCAAAGCGGCATCTACATAGAAACATGAGTCATATAGCAGCGTTGCAACTCAAGCAGAAAAAAAACAGATGCTATTGACAAAACAGATTCAAATATATAAAAGGCTGCAGGTAAATCGAGGTAAAGGCTTGTTATTGTGTAATAAGTTACCTTGGTTGAGCTGAGTGTTTTTCTTTACATGAATTACAGAGGAAAGTAACTCCATGCATTGTTGATGTAGATCGAAAGCACTCACTACAAGCCATGTACCAGTATTGTTGAAAAATATTTTCAAAAGAGAATCGAACTTTGACCCATGCTGCCTGAAAGAGTCAGGTGAGCTATTATTACATCGAGAACTATACGGATAAATAATCATACAAGGAAAATACATGTATTATACCTTTTGCATTCCTGTCAGATTGCAAACCTGAGTAAATTTCTGGTTTGGCTGAAACGAGAGCTCTGGATTATAGTTCTCGTATACTTTGTGGTTAACTATATCCAAAAGAAGTTTTTCATTTCTCATTGCCCTGTTGGAAAAAATGACAGGTTACTTTCAAACAGGGAACTAAAAATGAAGCCTGAACACCGAAACTAAGAAGCATATGTTCGCGAGATTACCAATTTTTCAGTTCTCTAGCTTCTTGGACAGGTGGATCAACAAGAATGACAGAGTCAAACCATTTAGATAAAGCTACACCTAAAAGAAAATAGCATGTATGACTCAGGGAAAAAGCACCAGGAGAAAAAAAATGTAACAGTTAACTGTTGACAAAGTGTTTGCAGGTAACCATTATAACAGCCAACTTTGACTCTGCTGCATACAACGACCGGAAATTTGTGCATGTTCTGTAAAATTTTCTGGCCTTCATCATCGACAAAAGCATCCCACATGGATAGTTTGACAGTTTGAAAGCTATTTTTTAGAGAAACGAATGAATATCATAGTTGAAACTGTGAAAAGTGAATATAAGAAATGATTATAAGCGAGAGAAACTCATACTCTTCATTAACAAGGACAAACTTCTGCACGCTGGATTCTTTACCATCTTTGGTAATTTGTTTCCGGTCCAGCGCAGATATAACAACAGCTAAGATGTCTATACAAAAAATAAATAAATTGTGAACAAAGTCCCTGTAAGAAAAGAAAAAACGTATATGTATATATTTTTAATCAAACAAGCTTACCCACAGATTGATCTTTAATATCCATGTATTTGATTAGGTCGGTAAACTTGGTATAGGTGAGCTTCACAGGTACAACATCTTCATCATCATTGACCTCTTCAACAAGTGTCCTGGTGGATATAACCCACTGTGTTTGCAGACCGTTAGACTAAAATTTTGGAGGAATTGGTCTCACAACTGCATTCGAGATAAGATATTTCTTATATACTTGCAGAAGAGGACTCATTTTAGGGATGTCATTATTGAAAATGATCCCTTCAACCAAAGATCCCTATAAAAAAACAGAATGAGGTCACAATGCAGTTCGAAGCAATAAATTTTTTAAGGCAGTACAAAATGGAACGGGAAAGCCTGTGAAAGTCGCAGTCGATAAATTCAAACATAAGCATTAAAGGCTTTTAAAGCTCTAGTTATTTAGTTTTGAGCATAGAATTGAGATAGTGAAATGGCTAGCTATGTACCTCTGAGTCCAAGAAAATGAATTTCTATTTTTTTGTTGGAGTAGCAAGTGACGATGTAACATGTTGTTTTTCCTGAACTGTGACCTTACATGTCCAATTTTTTGTGCCAGGAAGAATCTCTTTCATTGGAAGAATCTGTGACATCCTGAAATAAAAAAACAAGAATGAAGCTGAAGGAACGAAGATGAAACTGAGGGGAATAACAATTATAAATGGCAAGCATTTTATATAAACTGACCTTGACAAATCATTGTTACATTGTAGCTAAATGAAACACTTCACTAAAAACAACATTTCTTGTTTTGTTATCAATTTTGATATCGTCAAAAGTTCCAGGAACAATCAAGATTTTAACTGTATCAGGAGTCCTGGCTCTAGACAGCGCAACGTAAAGTTGGCCATGAGAAAACACAGGTTCGCGCAGATAAACTCCAACATAATCCAAAGTCTGTCCCTGAGACTTGTTAATCGTCATAGCGAAACATAGACGGATGGGGAACTGCGTTCTTATGAAAGGAATACCATTTTTTTCATTTTCAGGGGTTTGCAGAGGAATTCTGGGAATGAAAACTCGCTTGCCTCTGTGCTGACCAAATACAATTTCAGCACAGATGGTATGTTGTCGTAACTCTCTACATATGAGCCTTGTGTCGTTGCATAGGCCTTCAGCCGAGTTCAAATTCCTGAGAAGCATGATAGGACAGTTTACTTTGAGGAGCAGCTTATGTGGAGGGAGTCCTTTTAGATTCTGACTATTTAGAAAGTCTTGATAATCTCCCTGAAACCTCTGGTTAACAGTTTTATCTGAACTTATATAGGTATAAAGCTTCCCTGAAAATTTCTCAATCATCATGTCGTTAAGCTCATCAACAGAGCTATTTCTAGGAGAAAGGATGCATCTATTGATCATTTGATAAGGATCGGCTGAATAGAGATTCAGATCAGGGAAAACACAATGTATTAATCTGCATTTAATTTTCAGAAATCTGGAGTCAAAAAAAGTATAACATAGGAGTTAAACAGGCATTCAAAGGATAACATGAATGATAGACACTAAAATCACCTGTCCAAGGACTCGTGTTTGTCATGATAGGGAATTACCAAGTCAGAAGGGAGCGTTACATCACCATTTTCATCAACAGGCTCTCGTCCTTCACCAATTCGTAACAAACAGTCAGAAAAGCCTGGGTTTAAAAGAGCTCGCATATTTGCCTTCAATGTCAACTTATGCATACACAACCACAACGGGGAACTAAGAAGGCTTGATTCAATTAAATCCTGTTCAGAAGCATGTTCAATAACTGGTAGGGTCTGTCGAAAATCTCCACCATAAACAACAACATGTCCACCAAAAGGGAGATCAGAATCTTTCAAGTCTTGTAGTAAACTGTTAAAAGCCTCAATTGCTTGCCTCTTAGCCATAGACGCTTCATCCCAAAGAATCAATTTAGACTCACAAATTAACTTAGCTATGCTGCTCTGTTTGCTAAGCTGACAAGTTTTATTGTTCGAGAAATCTAAAGGAATTTTAAACCGAGAGTGTGCAGTTCTTCCTCCAGGAAGAATGGATGCTGCAACACCAGAAGTAGCAACAGCGATAGCAATGTAACCTTGAGACCTCAAAGCAGACAGAAGCGACCTATATAGGAAAGTCTTTCCAGTTCCGCCAGGACCATCAATAAAAAAGGCTTTACCTTCTGAAGAGAAGACTGATTGTAAAATTAAATCAAAAGCGTATCGCTGTTCGGGATTCAACTTCGAAGGCAACAACTCATCCTCAGGATCAACTACAATGCTTCTCTCACTCTCCATTTCTCTGGTACTCCGTTCAGGCATAGCAAAGGAATTAGCAACTAAGTGAAACTCACATATACTCTTTCCCATTTGTACTAATGACCTATTAATATCCTCCAAAACTCATTTTTTAATCTCACAATCAGAATAATGAGTAAACTTCTGAGCATGTACATAATCTGATGAGAGATCCTTTTCAAATCTAGTCCACAAGAGTTTAGGATCAGAAGGAGAACAGTACAATAGAAGAGTAGCGAATAATAACCGCAGAGATAATGGCATTTGAAAAGCTACAGCTTCTTCTAGAGTTTCTTCTATATAGTTATCAGATTCCAACAAACCTATCTTAAGAGCAGCTTTAACAGTCAAAAGATCATCAAATGACGTGGGACCACGAACATGGCATAACAAGAGCCTCAAAAAATATCGTTCACCCTCCTTTGGATTTGCTGTAACTAATCTCCCTATTACTCGTCGGCGCTCCCTTTCAGACCAAGTTTTTGTTTTAGGAGTCCATACAAAATGTTCAGGGAACTCCCTATATAAACACCTTAAGTTCTGCGCTTTTGCATTTGACTTGTTTGTCTTAAAAAATTCAGTCAGCATGGTCCTAGAGAAATCAATTTTTTTCAGCAAGTAATTCAAATCTGAATTCCTGTCAAAAGAAATGGATTGCTGATCAAGAAGATGGACTTGAAGAGTATAAACGGACGGAGTCATTTCACTTAGCCGGAACTCATAGATTCGCCATAATGCTTCAGGTGGAGATATCCACCTGCCTTTCTGAAAGTTACTGATCTCGTCGACGTCACTACAAGAAGCCTGATCAATGACCTGAAAGCTGATAAGATCAGGTCCTTTAAAAACATATTTGTAAAGGTATTTGACAAGCTTCACTGTGGAACAGATTTCCACATTTATATGGCAATCGATCAAAGCAAGCAGGTATCGGTTATGAGGTATAACCCATCTATTATCCAACTCATGGCGCCGAACTTTTACCTTTCTACAATCATTCCTCCTTCTATAACATGGATATGAATCTTCAGCATGAATGGTATGATCTGAAAAGTTTTTTGGATAATGACTTTTACAAGAACCATTTTTCATGCAAGGACAACTTTTATCCATATCTCCACAGGGACCGTGAATCATATGCTTAACTACAAGAGAGTATAAGTGCTGGTGTTCTTTTAGGTCAGGAAGTTCAGCGCAAACAATTTTATCATATGATTCAGCATTTAACAATTTGAACTCTAGCTTAAGAATTAATAAGACATGAGCATGAGGAAAGCCGCGTTTCTGGAATTCGATAGCATAGACACACGCTGCAACCTCTCCAAAAATGTGTTTATGCAGAAGTTCAGACTTAAGGACTTCAAATTTAGCTCTAAAAACTCTAGACAATAAATCTGGCCTATCTTGTGGCTTCTCTGTATATCTCAGACCTTCTTGAATCTCCTTCCACATAGGATTGCATGTCATGGTCAAAAAAATGTCAGATTTTCCATATTTTTGAACCAAAGACATGGCATCCAAATATCTGCGTTTCATATCCCTTGGACCCCCAATAAAAGATGCTGGTAAAATGGTCCTTCGACCAACTCCAGAACCCTATGTCTGACCAATAGCAATGCTATCTAGAACTCCTTGGAGCACCTCTGTGTGTATTTCATTCTGTTTTCTTCTGTGGAAGTCAAGCCTGGACGTCTCAATCTTAATGTAGGAACCCACGACAAACTGCTGAAACAATCCAAGACTGTGCAGCAACATAGACGCATCATCATCTCTGACTTGGAACTTGTAGCAATAATATTCTCTAGCAGACACAAAATAGTCTTCAGTCGAAGCCTTGTCAACAACTAAAAAGATAGACATATAGACATAATAAGGAAAAAATGTACACCTGATGACTAAACGAAGTCAGAAAAAAGCAAGGGGGAAAAAACCTGTTGATCCTGGTCCCTAACTTTTGATATTTACAAAACAATGGATAATACTAATATCTTTTTAATAAATACTATCAGTTATGAATCAAATCAGATTCAAAGATTAAGCATATCTGAAAGGGACAAAGTATGCTAAAGCTGTCGGACGCTCAAGAAGACAAGATCGGACGTCCGATACTCATTGCGCAACTTCGGACGCATGAAGAACTCTACCACCGGACGTCCGAAGGAAATAAGACTTTTTTCCTGAATCACTGACCTCGATCGGACGCTAGCATCGGACGTCCGATAGGATCCTTCAAAGTCGACGAAACCATCGGACGCTGAATATGTCTCTACCGGACGTTCGATAGAAACAAGATAATTTCTCAAATCTCTTTGTTTGCTGTCGGACGTACAAAGAGCTTGCACCGGACGTCCGAAAGACTCGAAGAAAATCTCTGAAACTCACTGTCTGCTGTCGGAAGCATAAAACAGGGCTATCGGACGTCCGACACTCCAACGGCTAGTTGACTCTTTAGCTACTTTCTATCCGTTGGAAGCATTAATGAGGCACTTTTTTTATCCTATATAAATTGTGGTTGGTCAGATATTTCAAACAACTTTTGCACACTGAAAATACAAAAGATCTAGAGAGATTTTAGTGAGAAAATACTCTTCAAGGAAGATTTGTAGTCTTAGTGGTGTGAGGTTCTTTGTAAGATTTTCATTTGTGAGTGAATATTTCATAAGTGTAGCTCTGCGAGGGTTGTCCTGAAAGATAGTAAAACGTCCTAACTTGACCGAGTGGAGTTCGGGGCAAGGAGGAGGTGAACCTTCCTTTGTACACAAGAGTGATTGTAATTCATCAACTTGAAATAGCTTGTCTGATTTAATCTACAAGCTCAAGAGGAGGTGTGTAGTTAATTGGTTTGCAATTCTTTCCTTTTTATTTACTTATTGTTACGTTTGTGATCTTTAAATTGTTTATCTCTTCTACTCACAAGCACTTGTGCTTTCTTATCAACTGCTCCATTGTGTGGTCGCCTAAAAAAGAGGTTGTTTTCGCGCCTAACAATTGGTATCAGAGCTTGGTCTCCTAGAGATTAAGCTCAATCGGCTTTGGAGTAAAGATGACAACCAACAATGCTATATTTTTTGAAGGACATTCTGTCATTAGACCACCTATGTTTAATGGGTCAAATTATGTGAGTTGGAAAGAAAGAATGATTATTTTTTTGCAATCTATTGATATTGAATTGTGGTTTATTATTAGTGAAGGTCCATATGATGCCTCTCTTATAGATGAAAATACTCAGAGATCTAGACCAAAAATAAGAAGTGAACTGATTGCTGCAGATAAAGCTCATCTCACATTAAATGCAAAAGCCATGAATGTGTTATATTGTACTTTAGACTCAAATGAATCTATTAGAGTCAAAGGCTGCAAGTCAGCCAAGAAAATTTGGGATAAACTGAGAGAAATTCATGAAGGTAGTGAGAATGTTAGAGAACAAAAGAAGTCCATTCTAGTTACAAAGTATGAATCCTTCAAGATGCAGCCTCATGAAAATATTGATGAGATGTATTGTAAATTCAATGACCTCATTAAGGATTTGGAGGTGCTGGAAAAAGAATACTCTCTAGGTGAGAAAAACAGAAAAATTCTGAATGCTTTATCGAAGGATTGGGAGAGTAAAGTGACTGCCATTGAGGAAGTCAAAGATCTAAATACCTTGCCTATTGAATCTCTCATTAATTCACTGACTTCTTATGAGCTAAAACTCAAGTCCAAGGTGCAGGAGGAAGAAGACACAAAAGTGAGAAAGAATATTGCTCTGAAAGCTTCACAAGATGGAGATGATACAGCCTCCGTGAGTTAAGATGACATGGAAGGTGATGATAGTGATATTGCACTCATCACACGAGGCTTCAAAAGAATACTCAACAAGAGGAGATTCAGAAAATATGGGCCTAACAACTCCTTCCCGAATCAGTCCAACAACTTGAGAAACAAAGAGAAGTTAGAGTTTAACAAAAAATAAACTGATAAGTGTTTTGAATGCGACCAACCTGGACACTATGCAAGTGAATGTCCAATGAAGAAGAGGAAAAGTGAAAGAAAATCAAGATTCAACAATTTTCAGTTCACATGGAATGAATGCAACTCCGATGGTGAAATTGAAGAGGATGAAGAATCTGCTCAATTGGCTTTTATGGCCATTGGAGATGATGAGGTAACATTTTGTAACTCTCAATTTGAAAGTGATGATGAAACTGATGATTATCTTGAATCTTTCATTATAAAATTGCATGATAGTTTGAAAGAATCCTATGCTAAAAACAAGGAGTTAAAACAGAAAATTAGTTATTTGTTTCGAGATAATGCAAATCTTTTTCAACAAAATAAAAAGTTGAAAGTTGAAAATGATTACTTCAAAATGAGTGAGACTGCTTTACACTTTGAGCTTGATAGAAAAACAAAACTTTGTGAATTGTTTAAAAAGGAACAAGGTGATTTGAAAAGAAGAATGAATAGTCTAAATGATTTGCTTAAACACAAGAAACAAGTTTGTTTTCAAAAGAATAGGTTGAATTCTAATTCTAATGAATTTGCTATTTATAAGAGAAAATAAGTAAGATTTATTAAACCTGTTCATATAAATAACTCTTTGGTTATGTGTAATTTCTGTTGTCAAAAAGGACACATGAAAAATGATTGCTATGTGAGAAAGAATATGAAAAAAGGCATGAAATGCATGCGGATAGTTAGACATGATACTAACTCTAACAAGTAGGAGATATTGGTAAGATTGATGAGATTCTTGATGTTTTTTTTTTTATGTTTCTGATATTTTGAACTGAATTTTTCTTGATGTTTTTGAATATTACTGAATCTGTATGATATCAAAAAAAAAAGGGGAGAAAAAAGAATTACGCTGATCTAATGATGATTTGGTTTGATAATTTTTTTATGTTATTTCTTTGTTTGATACTTCTTTTGATATCAATTCTCTGTGACATATTGATTATTGCTGTCATTTCTCTGTTTTTACTTGGAATAGTGGATTCTCTGTTATTGTTGTTGGATTATGGTTGCTGGTTTTTACTCTCATCTTATGATGACAAAAAGGGGGAGAAATGGATGCTATGTGTAAGGGGGAGTTATTCTGAAATTATTAGTTTGGATGCAATGAGTGAGGGGGAGCTTATGCTCATATGCTCAATTTTTTTCCTTCCTTCCATCCATTGTTTTGTCATCATCAAAAAGGGGGAGAATGTTGATCCTGGTCCCTAGCTTTTGATGTTTACAAAATAATGGATAATACTAATATCTTTTCAAGAAATACTTTCAGTTATGAATCAAATCAGATTCAAAGATATAGCATATCTGAAAGGGACAAAGTATGCTGAAGCTGTCGGACGCTCAAGAGGACAGGATCAGACGTCCGATACTCATTGCGCAACTTCGGACGCATGAAGAACTATACCACCGGACGTCCGAAGGAAATAAGACTTTTCCCCTGAATCACTGATCTCGATCGGACGCTAGCATCGGACGTCCGATAGGATCCTTCAAAGTCGACGAAACCATCGGACGCTGAATATGTCTCTGCCGGACGTCCGATAGAAACAAGATAATTTCTCAAATCTCTTTGTTTGCTGTCGGACGCACAAAGAGCTTGCACCAGACGTCCAAAAGAAAAAACTCACTGTCTGCTGTCGGACGCATAAAACAGGGCTATCGGACGTCCGACACTCCAACGGCTAGTTGACTCTTTAGCTACTTTCTATCCGTTGGAAGCATTAATGAGGCACTTTTTTGATCCTATATAAATTGTGATTGGTCAGATACTTCAAACAACTTTTGCACACTGAAAATACAAAAGATCTAGAGAGATTTTAGTGAGAAAATACTCTTCAAGGAAGATTTGTAGTCTTAGTGGTGTGAGATTCTTTGTAAGTTTTTCATTTGTGAGTGAATATTTCATGAGTGTAGCTCTGCGAGGGTTGTCCTGAGGGATAGTAAAACGTCCTAGTTTGACCGAGTGGAGTTCGGGGCAAGGAGGAGATGAACCTTCCTTTGTACACAAGAGTGATTGTAATTCATCAACTTGAAGTAGCTTGTCTGATTTAATCTACAAGCTCAAGAGGAGCTGTGTAATTAATTGGTTTGCAATTCTTTCCTTTTTATTTACTTATTGTTACGTTTGTGATTTTTAAATTGTTTATCTCTTCTACTCACAAGCACTTGTGCTTTTTTATCAACTGCTCCATTGTGTGGTCGTCTAGAAAAGAGGTTGTTTTCGGGTCTAACAAAACCTGCCTCTTTGTTCTAACTCCAACAATTGCGATGGAGTATGTGTGGAAGAAAGATCAACAGATGGGTCCACCTCAGAGAAAGTTTCCTTTTTTTCCTTTTTATGAAATCGTTTAATTCCATAATGCCACCCAGATTCACCTCTAGGAAAGAGAAGAGGATACTGTAAAGAATCACAGCATCCATAATAAGGCTGGACTCTATAACTCGTGCTAGAGTGACTATAAACTTGAATGTGAGGACGCATATCAACTGAATGATCATCAGTTTCAGTCCAAATAGCAGCAACCTGGGACGTAGTAGGAAGGTTATATACTCGCTGGTTGAGTCCAGGATTACAATTGAGAATAATTCTATGATCCTCAAGGTTTGGAACATCCCTTAAGCTTTTAAAAAATTCTGCATAAGGATTATCTTGGAGCACATTCATAAGCAGCTTCAAAGTATCCTCACGAAGCTTATCAGAGTTCTGAGATGCCTTTTTTAATACTTCATCAGTATCATAAAAATATAATTGAATTCCACTAGCCTGATCACCGTTTGCCAGCAAAGAGTTCAAAAAGTGATAAACCTGACCCTGAACTCGAAAGGTATAAACTCCATGTTTATTCTTTGTTAATTCCCTGTCATATTTTGCAGCATATGATGTAAAATCTACATTGTTATTATAAGTGCGAGCCTTTCTTCGAAAATCCTCACACTCCTCATCAGAACCAGTAAATAGACGCTTCAAACTGTAAGGCATGGGAGGATAGACAATTTTAACCTCGCCTCCACGGCAGCAGAAAGAAGGAGGTTCCATGTGAAACCTCTTGGCACCACAATGTTCACAATCCGGAACACTGGGAAGGATAAGAGATTCCTCAGGGATTCTTTCAAGTTTAGAAAGTTTTGAACGGCCACGCCGGCAAGAGACAGCTGTAAGTCCGCAGCGAAAAGGCATCATGCTAGAGAAACGAGACTAATTCTAATAGTTTTGAAAAAGAAAGGAGTTTGTGACCATATAAATGGATGCATAAGCTGGTATGAAGCAGTAGCATCAAAAGCTGAATAACAGGTTTGATTTTGTAAACAGCTACACTGGATAGATAAGAAGAAACTATGATCAGAAAAAGTGGCCAAATAACAGTATCACCCCCGAACAAAGAAGGCGTAGGCAGAGCTTTCAGCCGTATAGAAGGAGACAGTTGGCTGTCAGAACGCAGCTGAACATTATTTGTATGCTGCACAGTACTATAAAGCTCATTCTGGCAACCAGTTTGCAGATAAGGATGAAGCATTTCAGTAAATGCATGCGTATTTTCCCCCCTACAAATAGACGGCAAAACTATTTCATTGGTGCCAGACGCTGATTCCATGCGGTGCTCTGCAGCAGGAATCACCAACCGACACAGGAGGGTAGACAATAAACAAATGTGAAGCGGAAAGAATACAAAACAGAGGTTTCAAAGAAGCAGAAACAATTGAACTTGTACCGCTAGAAGAAGAAAACAGAGGCAGACGGTAAAGACCAGTAGAGAAAGACGTTTGATTGTGAGGATCTAATGGAGTAAATCCAGAATTAAGATGGCAATCTGATTGTTGAATACCCCTAGAGTCGGGCCCATTAACCGCAGTAACACTTAGATCACTAAGAGAGGCAGGCAAATGGGGAACCGACTCGTCATAACATCTACTATCGGCTCGCTGAGGAGCACTATGAAAGGCGCAAGCAAGAGAGGTTTGACAATTATGCTGGCTACCCTCGCCCTGACCAAGGGGCGACCCATTTGCGTGACTATTGCCAGGAACAGTAAGCCTTCTTTTCTTTGCAGCATTAGCATCACGGCGACGGCGCAAAAGCTCGGCCTTTTCTTGCTCTGGCATTTCGGCATAGCGTTTACGACGCCTTGAATTCCTATCCATGTTCTTAGACTGGAAGGCTGAAGAACATAAACTAAGCCCAACAACCAAAGGAAAAATGACACAGCAACACCCAGAGTGCAGAACAGAAAATAGAAGAAATGGAATAGATACAATCACACAGCAACAAACACAGGGGCATGCAACAGAGGCATAGAATAGAGGACAAAACACTTTTTTTGTAACAAGAAATTCGAGCACAGGAGGACAATAATAAAAATATGTAGAGCAGAATGAAAGAGCACAAGGAAGAACGAATATGCTTAAAGGAAGGAACGGGAGGTTAGAATAGCTTAAAAACCTGAACTGGATCAAACAAGCACTGACTGGAAGCACACGTCTCCAAAGCCAAAGGGACACCAGGTGAAACAGAACTGGCGCAACACACTGCTACAGCTTCCAGAAAAACAACGAAAGGTTTAGCACGTACACAATAGCAGAAGCAACAATGAATAACATGGAAAAAGAAGATAAAAGCAAAGAAAATAGACAACAAAAAGCACAAACAAGCATTACAGCGAACAAACAGAGTGCAAAAAGGAAAAGGATGAAAGAAAACTGAGCAGCGAACAAGGCAAGGTTCAGAGGATGAAAGCAACCAACAAACAAACGAAGAGAGCTAAAAGCCGAGAAAAAATGATAAAAAAAATGGTTGCAACGAAAACAAACGCGAACATACACAGCATCAACGAAGGCAACAGCACAAACCTGCATCACAAAAAAGCAGAGGAAGGAAAAGTAAGGAGCTAGAGCTGTGGTTGTGGAAGACGACAATGCAACAGTAACCAGCTACAAGCAAAGGAAAAAGACCGGGAACATGCAGAAGAAATTTAAAACACAGAGAAAAGGCAGAAAATCTCTGGAAACAAAAGGAACATCAACATACACAGCATCAGTGCATCATAAAAAAGCAAAAGGAAAAAGACTAAGAACCTGCAGCTGCGTTTATGGAAGACGGCAATGCAACAGTAGCCAACTCCAGAGCTAACAACCAGGAAACAAAAAAGAATGTTAGACAAACAGAGCTAAAAGAGTACAACACAAAATTTTAAAAAACAAAAGCAACGGTGAAGACAGAATACACTCACCATAAGCACATCAAACAAGCGATAGCAAAAAGCAGCAAACAGAAGACAGAGCAATCAAAAGCAAGCTAAACGGAACCCAAAAAGAAAGATATCCAGCAGAAACCGACTGAATTACCCAACGATTACGAGGTTTCCTAGCATGGCCGTACAGGGATTAGATGGCTCGTTGTTAAAAGCGGAAGCAAGTTGAAGATTGGAAATTTGGCGGTAGAGGCCATTTGACACAAATGGGCACACCCCCAGAGATTATTACCAACAAATACAGAAGTAAAAAAACAGGTAAAAAAAACAAACTCTGAAGGAGCAAAACGTAATTTCACCTCTGACCAAGAGGCTATTCTGCCGCTAATGACTAATGATGACTATGACTAATGACTAATGACATCAGTTCATTTGTTTTGGGAATATATATATATATATATATATATATATATATAAACCATGCAAAAACTACCTGCCTTAAAGAAGAAGAAGACTACCTGGTACGGGAAGCTGACATCATAACCAGCGGCCAATCCCTACAAGGCACATGGGCGGACGACCATCCAACGTGGCAGGGGCGGTTGCCTCTTTATCTATATGGTTGACGAGGGGATTTACTATATTCATCACAAAAACAAGATCTTAAATAGGATCCCAATTTGAAAACCTGGACACATGTTAAAAACTGAGGACTTGTACCACTACTACCTGCATTCATCACCATTAATCCCAATTCATCCGCCTTGAGCTAGATTTCCTTTTTCTTTCATCAATCCATAATCATCAGTTCCATCTTTCACAAAAGAGTTCCCTTTTTCAACCCATCAGCTACTATCCTATTACTCTCGGCCAAAAACAAATAAAAATAAAACCGACGGGAAACCGAGGAGGAGCCGCTACCACCGTTGGGTCGTCGGAGTTTGCCCATACCACCACGGTTATCAAGTCTTCATTTAAAACGCCCTGTGAGCTATTCTTTCCTTTCCAACTTTAACTTCAATTTAATATTTTCTGACACCATCTTTTGCTAGTTTCTTCTTGAATTTTTCTAATCTGGAGTTATTTGCAATTTTCATGGCTGAGTATACTCTTTGGCTTTTGTTGGACTGAAATCGTATTTTGATTACAATTTTTGGGTCTTTCTCTCGGTGAAATTGTAAGAGATCTTTAGAATTGTCGTATGCCCATCTAATGTTTGAAGAAATGCCTAAACGAGTGATTGAAGTAAAGAGACAAATCTCTTGTATCTGTGCGCGTGGGGAGGAGCTCCGATCAGTCCAACGCTGATCGGAGCCCGTGAGTTCGCCAGAAAGCCATCAAAGACCCAGAGATTTTTTGTTTGGATTCTCTTTTACATTTTCCTTTTGTTCTATTTTTGGTTGTTCAATGGAATTTGGTGTGTGTATTGTGTGTTCGTGCGTGGGAGAGAGAGTGCGAAGTTGGACTCGCCGGAGATGATGATTTCTAGGTTACGCAGCAGCAGGGACAAATTGTGTCAATGGAGCAGATGGCACATTTGTGATTTCACCCCAAGTTATACAATCTTTTGGATTTACTACTGAACTTGTTTTAGGTAGTTTTAATTAGGTCCTAAGACTAGGTTAGTCAACTTTTGTTTCATCAGTCTTTCTATTTGTCAATTAACAGTTGTAATTAGTTTATTTTCTCTTTTTAGAAGTGATGTAACCCATATGGGACATAGGAGCAATTGAATCTTGTAATTTTCTTTTTTCTTTTCTATTTTTCCTTAATTACTTTTTATTTCTTCGCATGTAGGGTTGCAAACGAACCGAACTGTTCGCGAACGGCTCGAGTCAAGCTCGACTCGAGCTCGAGTTGGCTCGAGTCGAAATCGAGCTCGTATTTTTTTCATTTTAAGTATATATATATATTTTTTTTATTTTTTTATTTTAAGTATATATATATATATATTATTTTAATAATAAAATTACATATATATCTTTAATATTTTATTATTTATTAAGAAAAATTTTATTTTATTTATTTTTTAAAAAATAAAATAATTATTTTTTATTTTTTTCAAACTCGGGCTCGACTCGATTCAAGTCGAGCTCGAGTTCGAGTTCAATAAAATTAAGTCAAGACTCGGTTCGATAAGGTCAAAACTCGACTCATTTGCAACTCTAGTCACATGTACGTGAGCGGAGAGTGCGTTGTTTCGTGGCTTTTCCAGCGGAAGCATTGAAATTAAGCATTTCATTATATTTCACTATTTATGTGTTATGCATATTTTTTTACTTGTTTGGGTACTTAGTGTTAATTGAGTACATGTTATGTGCTTAGCAATAGATTGACTCATTTTTGTATTAAAATTGAAAGAATAAAATTAAATTCACAATCTGTTTTGTCAGGTGTTTTTGTTGGTTTTTGGTTGTGGGGGTTGGGGGGGTGCTTGAGAATAAAACTTTGACCTTATCTCTTTACCTTACAAATGTAGCTTTCGAATTTATTTCTCTGATTTTAAAAATCCTAGAATTGTCTAATTAAAAGATATTATTTGTGTTTTAATGATCAAAAGTTACTTTTCAGTGACTCGGTATATTTAAATCCAATATCAAGTGGCAATTCAAAATTTTTCAAAAACCCCTTTTCTAGACTTTGGCAGGCCTAAATTTGAGGTTTTGTTAAGTTTTATTGTGGGTCTTTTTTTATTTTTATTTTTATTTTAAAAAAACCCAAAAATCATTTTAACCAAAACTCTGAAGTATCCATCTTTTTATTTTAAAAAAAATGCGTGGGGACAGCTTCAACCATTAGAACCATGTGAAGGCTTTTGTACTTGTACCGTTTAGGTTCTAGCTTTTGCTCGCTTCCATGTTATTTTGCTTATTCTTCCTATCGGTCCTTTTTCTCAATTTTGGATATTAATTTCTTCTTATGCATCAATTTTATTAAAAAATAGAAATTATAAAAAATATTTTTACTAAGCACAAACTTTTTAGTTTACAAA